GGGAGAGGAAAGGGAGTTGTATCCGATTGAAACTGAATATTATGTATCTGATTGAGTATTGATAGGATGTTTGCGTTTGAAACTAAATATTATGTATTCGATTGAGTATTGATTATTAGTATGTGAATTGCATGGTATGTATCCGATGGGAGAGGGAGAGGAAAGGGAGTTGTATCCGATTGAAACTGAATATTATGTATCTGATTGAGTATTGATAGGATGTTTGCGTTTGAAACTAAATATTATGTATTAGATTGAGTATTGATTATTAGTATGTGAATTGCATGGTATGTATCCGATTGATTATGGATTTTTATTTGAGATTATTGATTGGTATGTGTGTTATTGTGATTGAATTATGGATTGATATGTAACAGCAGGAGTTTGAATTTCCAGAGGAGTTCGTATTTCCAGCTATTTTCAGCTGAAAAAGTCTGCCAAATGGTCGGGGTTGGGAACCCCGACCATTTTGTGCACGAACACAAAACGGTCGGGGTTCACAACCCCGACCATTTTGGGAACAACACCTACCTCTCTGCCAAATGGTCGGGGTTGGGAACCCCGACCATTTTGGGAACAACACCGACCTCTCTGCCAAATGGTCGGGGTTGCCAACCCCGACCAATTAGGCAGGGGCCTAAATTAGTCGGGGTTGGAAACCCCGACTATTTTAGCCTGCCCTTAGCTAAATAGTCGGGGTTGCCAACCCCGACATAACTAAATAGTCGGGGTTGGCAACCCCGACTATTTAGCGGCGTCATTTAAAAAAAAACCGACCCATTTCGTGGCCACGCTGCTGACGTGGCCCGAAATGGGTCGGTTTTGAGAATAAAATGTGGACTGGGTCGAATTTTTTAATAAAAAATTTAAAGGAGTTTAAATCGAAAATTTGTTCTTTTGTGCGTATTGTAAATTATAAATTTTCACAAACCTAAAGGGATGTTTGTTTCCCTGCATTTGGTGGGTTTGACATTGGAAATTGAGACACAAATTTCATCAATGATCGTTAATAAGTGCACGAATTTCGAGTTAACACGTAAAATAGACGTATAAGATTTGACCACAAAAATTACGTAGCTATTATGAGATGAGGGAGGCCTTTGGCCTCCCCCTCATTATCCCTCCATTCACACCCCATTATGGTGATGTAACACCCCATTAAGTGAGGGTGACTCTTGGGTACTCAACCTATTCACATTGATTAGTATAAATATATATCATAGGCCTTTGGCCTATGTACTTGCTTTAAACACGTTATCAGCACGAAGTGTTCTTGAATCCCTGAGCCATAAAAAAAATATATTTTCTTCCTCTTTTGCGCATTGAGATCTGGTTCGTTGCAGCGGGAGCGTTCGATGGATTATCGCAAGAAGGCAGCGTTCTACGGATCTTTAGTATCGATCGTCCCTAGATCTGTGATCTAGAGGTAATTACTATAATCCGTAGAATAATATATGGCAGCTGAAAAATTAACAAGAAAAAAATTTTTGTTACTGTTCACCGAGGGTTACTGTTCACTCGGGAATTTTTTTTTTTGTTTATTAAGCAATTTTTTGTTCATCTAATCTAATTGCTTTCATTATTTGTTGGCATAACTAGTAATTAATACTATTAGTTAATTGCTAATCAAAAAAAAAATTTATGTGCTCATGTTGATGAAACTGGCGAGAAGTTCTGCGGCTTCTGCTAGTTTGTAAAAATTCATATATTGTGTTAAATTTACACATTTACGCTGATAGCACTTCCTATTACCATGAATATTATTTGGTTTTGTGACGGATTTGACTGCATTGGCGACGGATTTCCCCGTCGCCAATACTCTGTTTTCTACTAGTGTTTGTTATTGGTTTATAAATTTTAAAGAAGCATATCCGCATATATCATCTTAAAAATAGTCTGAGACATCCGTAAAAACATGTAAATCATTTTCTAGTTTGGGTATAGCTACTTTAGGAATATTTACAATTAACTATTTTATTTTATATATTGTTTTCTTCTTCAGTCAATTATATTTTTATTTTATTAGTATTCCATGTTGATACTGGTTTATCGTGTTCTTTTTATATTATTTTGTTATTTTATTTACCATTTTTATTAACAGAACTATTAAAAAAAAAATTTCCATCCATAATTTAGTATTTATTATGAGATGAGGGAGGCCTTTGGCCTCCCCCTCATTATCCCTCCATTCACACCCCATTATGGTGATGTAACACCCCATTAAGTGAGGGTGACTCTTGGGTACTCAACCTATTCACATTGATTAGTATAAATATATATCATAGGCCTTTGGCCTATGTAATTGCTTTAAATAGTAGCTTTTAACAAAATTTATTATTTTAATCAAATATTCCTAACAAAATTCACGTCCAACCAAACAAATTCCGGTTGCATTTTACACCCCATGGCAATTATATTTATTATTCATTACAACCCTTGCTATAAGATTCACATGCATTATGATTCATGTCGATTATTTTTATTCTCTAAATTTGTGCTTTGTAGTAGATCAATTATAGTTAAAATTAATTCTTAATTCTTGATGGGACGTAAAAAATCATAATAATTAGCGGATAGGGTTGAAGTGTAGTATTAAAATCACATAATTGTTAAGCAACATCATCCTACTTTGAGGAAAAGGTCCATAATATAAGCTCACCTCTTGAACAGAATAAGTCTAACTTTGAAGTTTGAATGAGACATGAAACTCTTAACTAAATCGTACAGAATGCCAATTGTTTGCACCAACAATTTTAAGATACAATAAACTCTACATTATCCACCTCATACAGGATAGCTTACATAATTGTATCTAATTTCAATACGATCGAACTCTGAAATGATGAAAAAAATAGAGAAATGGGCGTGATAAGGAAAGTTAATAACATAAAAAAGAAAATCTCACCGCAAGCTATTTGCACAATTGTCACACTAATGTCACAGAGGTATAAAGATGAATTCATTTCGTGGCGTTTACTCACAAGGACCATAGCGAGATTGTACAGGCATTATATGCACAATGTACATCCGTTCATGGAATTTACAATAATCGTCAGACGTCGTCATTTTCGCCAAAATATACTTAGAAAAGATTTTCTCGGGGGAGCTTCCACACTTCCATCCTTCAAAGGATTAACAGTAGTTTTCAGAGCACAACGAACAACAGAATTGATTTGCTTTCTTAAGGTTGTGTTATCAGCAATAATATCTGAAAGCAGTTTTCTTATCTCATCATCTGATGCCATTTCATCATCATCAGTGATACTATTGATTTCATCTACACCACTAACTCCATATCCATCTTTAGCAAGGAGTTGTGCCTGCAAAGACAAGAATTTAGAGCTGAGCAAACTGAAGATCCATTTGAGATCTCGCCAATAAATGCCAAGTTTTAGGATTGCCTTAAGTTAACAATAATATGAAGCTCTATCTCTATGTTTGGTGTAGCATAGCCTAATAATATGCATAATTGTCACAGAACGAAGTCCTTTTTCATGTCACCGCTGAACAAGTGGTCTATAAATTTGAAATCTGCATGCATAATGAGTTGTATCAGGAAGAAATTCCAAATCAAATGTATAACAATTTGCATGTTTTACCTCAGTGGAAGTAGTAAAATTGAAGGCACGCATATCCATTGAGAATTTGCACTATTTAGTAACAATGATCCACATGTTATTGTGTATGATTTGTGACATTTAAGTAATTTAACTATCAAACGAGCTGGTTTTTAAAGTGAATATTGACCTCAATGTTGTTAATTTGCACTAATTTGTAAGAGAAGATTACAGAGACCATAGAATCAAATGTATATACTTTAGCACTATGTTTCTTTTGCAAAAGTAATCACATACTTCATTGAGCAGATAATGAAGATTAGAAATATAGAAATATAGAAACAGAATAAAACAAACAAAAATATTGTCTTAAGAAATAATGGAATGGTTAAAAGGTACTCAAAATGTTGCAAGAATACGAAAGTAACCTTTGCAAGGAGGAGGGAGATTCTAGTATCTGAAGTCGTCAGGAGACCTAAAGCATCTGATAAAGATGAAGGGTTGACATTAAATTTATCTTCTCCTTCCTCAAGAAAATTAACACTTGATTCTTGAAGCCGATGAAGAAGATCTTTACATGCAGAAATAAGCTTTTTCCTTGCCAATACTATCTCTCTTCTTCTTTGTTTTTCTTTCTGAAGAATTCTCTGAGAAGGACATATAAAATCAAAAGATAGTGTGCAGACAACTACCTTTAAGGAGTGGTTTAATAATTTAATAGCATACCTCTAGCTCACTTTTCTCCTCTAGATATTGATTTAAATCATCTTTTAGCTTTTCTTGAATGCTCCTCAAAAATCTAACCTCTTTGTCAAGAACTCTAATATCTGATTTTGATTTCGTCTCAAGTTCATCTTGACGCTTTTGCAAATCCATTAGCTGTTTTGTTTTGTTATCTAACTCTTGCAATAACGATTCGTTGTCGCCATCAGGACATGCACTTTCGGATTTTACAGGATTTTTTCCATTCTGCCATGAATAAAGAAGTGGTGAGAAATGGGACGGTGTTAGACTATAAGTTTCTTGAATATTAACGCATAAAGAAAAGAATAGAAAAAATCTACGTGTTCAAACTTTAGCTTTGATTCCATGATCAAATAATTTCTGCGAAGTTCATCAATCTCCCTCTGGATCTTTGTAACTCTTTCTCTTTAGATAAGACAGCTTGATGAAGTTCTTCTTTACTTTTTTGTTTGGCCGATTCGAGTTTTGCCTCTAAATCCTTCACTTGGACTCACAAACATCAAGTGCAATAACATGGGATGTGAGTTGACAAAGCAGTCACATCCAAATCCAAAGTACAACCTAACACATCACTATTGGTACTGAAATTCTTCTTGTATGAGGAGATGTTTGGAAGAGGGATCTTTAGGGGGACATATAATTATATAGTAACGAAAGATAAAAACAAAAGCAAAAAAATTTTGAAAAAACCTTGAAATTGCAATATCAACAGACTAAAACTAAAATTCAAACTTTTGAAAAACAAAAATAAAAAGTTTTCAGCTCAACTGGGAGGTGGAAGAGGTGTACAACATATGAAATATAGAAAAAAAAAGGGGGGGTTCATCGCAGATAGACTCCTTGTAGTATCGCCAAATTGAACTTACTACATCTGTATTTCTTTGTTGCAGATAGATCCCTTGAAAGTAGTTATATTGTTGCAAATAGACATCCTTAGTGAAAATCTATTGTTTAACATACCCTGAGGAAGAAACTCCAAAACCATAGACCCTCATAAAGTAAGAAACTAAACTATAAATATCTGCAATGAAAATATTTCAATAGAAGATGCCAAGCAACAAGAAATCTTTAGAAAGAGAGGCACCTTTAAACTGAGGGATTCTTTGATAGCTATCTCTTGGTTCAACTGTGCAATGAGATCCTCTGTGTTCGTCTTTCCTGCTACCAACCTTTGGTCCACGGTAAAAAGAAACTTGTTTAACTTATGCTGCTCGTCAACTGAATGACTAACAAGCTCATTGTTCATCATTGCATCAAAATATTCTGTAGGAGATTCAGCATCCATGGATCCACTGCCGAGAGAACTGCTTCTATTGGGACTGGACTCTGATGGTGGAGATAGCAAAGACGATGAACCGATTGCATCGGCAACTGGAGCACACGATATAGATCCATCTAAAATGCCTGTTTCCTGGGCATGCTTATGTATGTTTTGAGCTGAAAGCAGATTTCATTCAGCAAGAGAGCGTGAGAACTGAGCCGCGTGTATGTGCACGTGTATGTAGTTGGTGTATTTGCGTGTCGCGAGCCGAGAGATGATTTTAATGAGACAAATCTTAGTAAGAACATGAGACATCTTTGTGCATGTCCAGTATGCATAGGAGAGGGACTAATAGAGAAAGGAAGACCCCTTGTACTCTTATATCGTAGATAGACCCCTTGTACTATCTCCCAATTGTCGATAGACTCCCTGTAGTTTTATCCTTACAGATGCAAATAGACCCCCTTGAGTGATTTTTTTTTTTTTTGACTTGCTTATTCTCAGATAATGAGAAAACTTTTTGTTGGCAAGTAAACCGCAATTGGTTGATAGTATGGGGTCTAGGCTGCAACAATAAAACTACAGGCGGTGATTCACAAATCGCCCCTGTATCTGTGTAACAAATTATCCAGAGCAATTTTTGCAGCCAACATATGAATAAAAATGTGATCTTTAAACATAATGCAGCTAGGGAATGTGCAATGATATATCAAATCTTTGGACATGAGCATGAGCCAACATCAGAAATATAAATGGAACCCATTTCAATTTACCATAGAAGCAGGCCTCTATTCCTAGCAGTTGGGTTTAAATTGTGGATTCAATAATAGTCACAATTTCATGTAGAAAAAATAACGAAAAGAATCTAAAATAATAGAAATTAGAGAAGTGCGAGATTCAAATACCCATTTTTTAGGGACGAGGGTTCCAATCGATTCCTAGCGATATAGATGAAATCCCATCGTGTCGATGCTTGGAAGCCTTTCTTTTTTTTTATTCAAATTTCTATTTTCTTTTTTTTTCTTTTTTTCGACTTGGAAGAGATTAGCGAGAGAGAGGGGGAAGGGAGAATGGCCGAAGTCCGAGGGGACGTAGGATAAACTCCTTGGGAAATCCGGAAGTACAATGTACACGTACCAAAAATGTTTTGGTCTTCGGGTCGGGTTTTTTTTCCAAATAAATATGAATTTGGTTTTTAATAATATAATTAATTATTTACAAAGTTATAACATTCAATTTTTCGTTGTGATTTTCTCCTACTAAAATGTGTTCGTAACTATTATTATTAGATTGTACCGCAAGAAGCATGTTGTATTTTGATTCTATTAATTTTTAACCATCTATAGTTAAATCATACTAGTGCGCACCCCATGCAAAGCACGACCTCTATTCTATTATTTCTGCTACAGTAATTCTGTATTTAAATACAGATTTTGTAAGTGCTACGGTAACATTTTTTTTAAATGCTATAGTATCTAGCCTGAGCTACAGTAATATTACTACATTAATATTTTAAGACACTACAGTCCCGCTTGTGCTACAGTGATTTACTGTAGCATGAATAGTGAATCTTGAAACCTCCTGTTTGTTCTACGGTAACGAATGCTACAGTAGTTTACTGTAGTGTAACATGAATAGTGAATCTTGGATCCTCACATTATTATAGAGGAATAGATTAGCTTGTGCCAATGATATTTGTTTTTAGCCATTGGTATTTAAATTATACTAGTAACAGAATCAGACAGTGACAAGGATATTGATGTTCCTCAAATCTATTCATTTATACAAATAGGAGGATCAGAGATTCACTGTTCATGCTACAGTAAATGCTACAGTAACATTTGCTATAGTATTATTACTGTAGCTAATAGTTAATTAAAAATATTGTTGTAGCAAACGGGCATACTATAGCATCTAAAAGGTACTGTAGCAGAGCGGGATACTGTAACACTTTCAAAAATTCAAATCATGCCATATTAAAAAAACGGGATTACTGTAACAAAAAAAAATACCGTGCTTTGCACGAACGACAAACTAGTATATATGATGAAGAAAGAATCATCTAGTGTATCAGGAGAAGATATGGAGTCTTCTGAAACATATATACATGATCTCCAATGAGAGAGGTTCTCTATCTCTGATGAGGACATAGAAAGGCTAAAAATGGTCATTCTCAAACCTCATCGACATGATGTTTATAGGAAAATAGGTATTTTCAATACCAAAATCCTCAATAAACATTATTATGTATTTGATAGAGTTGACGGAAATATAGAGTTACATGGAGAAGATAGCTTCAAAAGAATTCTGCTCCTCAATCAAAGAAAGATAAATAAGGAGATTTTCGTAATTCCACATGCTTAAATGAACCAAGCATCAACGTTTCACCCCTTTTTCTTGTACTCCTCAACTTGGTTAAGTTTATCTTCATATGGGATTAAACTTTATATTTGATTAAGTTTTAGAATGATAACAAACATGGATAAAAGATGTGATAATATTTAACAGGGTAAACTTTAACCCCCTCTTTACTTACGTAGCAAACAAGCCCTAAAGTATCAAAGATATTTTAAATTTTTTATAATATCTGTTTATTTAATGTGCAATATTTAATGTTAGCTTATTTAAATTGGCTATGATATATTTTTATTGGAACTAGTATAGTACATGTGCGTTGCGCGTAGGCATTTATACTTGTTTTATGTTCTAATTTTTAAATTATAATGATATATTAAATATTACACATATTTTTAAAATAAATATAATTTTAAATAATAAAAATGTACTATTTTAATTAGTACTTAACTCAAATCCTATTATACCCCTAACTATTTAATTTATTTCTAATTGATAACTAATCTTAAATTTGACATTAATTAATAATTTAATTAATATTAATAGGGATTAGGAACAAAATTAGTTATTGTTCTAATAATATAGTACTGATATATAAATAAGATAACAATAGAGAGATGAAATATACAGAAAGTGTATAGTGAAAGTTAAATTAAAATTAATGAAATCTCAAGTTTATTACAAACTCTCAAAGGAGCTTGGCCACTTGTTCTTAATTTCAAATTAACTTATTAATTGAGGAGCATAATAGCAATTTCAATACTTTGAGGGACTAATTCAAAATAGCTTAGGGGAGGGACTTGATATTAATTTTCTAATTTGAGGTACTTCAGAATATCAAAGATTTAAGGAACTAAGGGATTAATTTTAGAATATCAAAGATTTAAGGAACTAATGTCGTAAAAAGTCTATTATTTTTACAATTTTTAATTTGTATTTGTAAACAACTTAATACTATTTTCTAATAACGATATTAAAATTTAAAATATTAACAAATATATTAATAGTCCTAATAATTTATTTATTTTATATTCACTATTAGATAATCCATTAAATTGATGCAGTACAAATCCACAACAGCTCTTATATGTCAATGTCCACTCAACTTAATATTGGATGCTCATCAAATTAACCATACATGAAAAGAAACAAAATAAAACAATCACAATATTTGTTTAATTGCAACCTAATAATTAAGAAATTTTCAATCAATACAACAACAAACAAACACATTATATTTAATCTTAAATTGAATAATATTCACACATTCATACATGCATGACCATATGATGGGCACCGACAGCGACCCTTCCTCCTCGACCACCACCACCTCCATTGCCCCTACAACAAACCCTATCTCCATTGCCCGCTCCACTAGTGTCTCTCCTAACCCATCTTCTCTACCTCCTTCAAGCATTACCTCCGGCGCCACCATCGAACCAAGATCTTCCATCGGCACCACCTTCACCAAAAGCCTCCACTACTATTGTCAAGTTTGGCCACCAAGAAAAGCTACTTTATAATATTAGTTGGTAACTATAAAAATAGTTTTACTTCTAATTTCCTATTTGCATTGTCAGAGCAAAGGAGAATGAATAGCAAAGAGGAAGAGAAGAAAATTACTTAACTCATTTTAGTTGGTAATCTTGAGTGGGCCATGCTGTGAGTGTTGGGGGATGGAGAGGGGTTATATAGCCCTTAAATGAAATAGATGTTGTTGAAGGAGTTTTTTTATCATTAGTTGGATCACTGAATTTTTCTTGAGGTTACCAACTATACTACTGATGAACCTCTCTTCAAATCCTACTTTCATGTGAAAATAACTGTTACATTTTACTTTTCATGTAAAGTAACATTAATAGTATGAATTAAAAAGAATTGTTAGAGTGGATGGAGGAGGTCATTTAAGATATTAAATGTAGAGAATAAATATATTTAATTAAGAAAACTATTAATAAGATGATTATTAAAAATAATTATTTTTTATTTAACTATGCATGTATGTTCATGTATATATGTGTTGTACGTAAGTATGAATGTATTTTGGAGGATGTATGTATGCGTTTTATTTATGCATGCATGTGTTTTGGAGGGTACTTTGGGAAGAAATATTTTAACATAGCAACCCACTTTTATAATAGTACCAGTATAGTGCACGTGTTTTGTACAAAAACATCCATGTTTTGTTTTATGTTTTTCAAATTCTTTTTGTTGGCTCCAAAATAATGAAATGACTTGTATAGCAATATAAATTCAGAACAATTATAAATTTATTTAAATGAATAAATTGTATGATAAAACTGTGGATAAAGAACTGTATGATTAATAATTATAGTTCGGATAATTGCTATAATTTATTCATAATTTATTAAAATAATTATAATATATTAAATAATTTATTCTCTTTTAAATATAATAATATTATACATAGCATAATTATAATGCATTAGTTTATTTTAATTTCATAATTAGATTATTACACTATTAGCAAATAATTTACTAAATAATATAATAATTAAATTATAGTGTAATTTATTAATTTAAAAAATTCTATTAAAATCATTATACTATTAATACTATTACAATTACAATAAATATAAATTATTTTTCATACTATTATCATACTTTTAAAAGGCTAATAAGTTGAAAGGTAATAGGTACTCCTCCATAAGAGGTGAAAAAATAAAAGGCATAAGGGGTAAGCGCAATGAATTTTTATTATTTTAAATTTTTCTAGAATTTTAAATATTATGTGAAGATGAATTAGGGATAAATTTCAATTTTTTTGTTAAATAACATAATTAAATAATAAAATATTAGTTTCAAATCTTAAATTGAATAATATTCACACATTCATACATGCATGACCATATGATGGGCACCGACAGCGACCCTTCCTCCTCGACCACCACCACCTCCATTGCCCCTACAACAAACCCTATCTCCATTGCCCGCTCCACTAGTGTCTCTCCTAACCCATCTTCTCTACCTCCTTCAAGCATTACCTCCGGCGCCACCATCGAACCAAGATCTTCCATCGGCACCACCTTCACCAAAAGCCTCCACTACTATTGTCAAGTTTGGCCACCAAGAAAAGCTACTTTATAATATTAGTTGGTAACTATAAAAATAGTTTTACTTCTAATTTCCTATTTGCATTGTCAGAGCAAAGGAGAATGAATAGCAAAGAGGAAGAGAAGAAAATTACTTAACTCATTTTAGTTGGTAATCTTGAGTGGGCCATGCTGTGAGTGTTGGGGGATGGAGAGGGGTTATATAGCCCTTAAATGAAATAGATGTTGTTGAAGGAGTTTTTTTATCATTAGTTGGATCACTGAATTTTTCTTGAGGTTACCAACTATACTACTGATGAACCTCTCTTCAAATCCTACTTTCATGTGAAAATAACTGTTACATTTTACTTTTCATGTAAAGTAACATTAATAGTATGAATTAAAAAGAATTGTTGATGGAGGAGGTCATTTAAGATATTAAATGTAGAGAATAAATATATTTAATTAAGAAAACTATTAATAAGATGATTATTAAAAATAATTATTTTTTATTTAACTATGCATGTATGTTCATGTATATATGTGTTGTACGTAAGTATGAATGTATTTTGGAGGATGTATGTATGCGTTTTATTTATGCATGCATGTGTTTTGGAGGGTACTTTGGGAAGAAATATTTTAACATAGCAACCCACTTTTATAATAGTACCAGTATAGTGCACGTGTTTTGTACAAAAACATCCATGTTTTGTTTTATGTTTTTCAAATTCTTTTTGTTGGCTCCAAAATAATGAAATGACTTGTATAGCAATATAAATTCAGAACAATTATAAATTTATTTAAATGAATAAATTGTATGATAAAACTGTGGATAAAGAACTGTATGATTAATAATTATAGTTCGGATAATTGCTATAATTTATTCATAATTTATTAAAATAATTATAATATATTAAATAATTTATTCTCTTTTAAATATAATAATATTATACATAGCATAATTATAATGCATTAGTTTATTTTAATTTCATAATTAGATTATTACACTATTAGCAAATAATTTACTAAATAATATAATAATTAAATTATAGTGTAATTTATTAATTTAAAAAATTCTATTAAAATCATTATACTATTAATACTATTATAATTACTAAAAATATAAATTATTTTTCATACTATTATCATACTTTTAAAAGGCTAATAAGTTAAAAGGTAATAGGTACTCCTCCATAAGAGGTGAAAAAATAAAAGGCATAAGGGGTAAGCGCAATGAATTTTTATTATTTTAAATTTTTCTAGAATTTTAAATATTATGTGAAGATGAATTAGGGATAAATTTCAATTTTTTTGTTAAATAACATAATTAAATAATAAAATATTAGTTTCACCAAGGGTTTTGAAAAAGTGAGGAAATGTATAATTAAAAGAAGTTATATATAATTAGTGCATGATTAATTACAACTAATGACATATTTGAGAATTATTAAGTTTAATAGGGCAAAAATAGAAATTAAAAGTTTTGACAAGGCAATCCTCTTTTAAATATAGTATAGATTATATTTTAGTAAATGCCTAAATATATGGGAAAGTAAAAATGTCCTAATAAATAAGATGTTATAGATAATTATTAAATATTAATTAGAAGTGATGTTATAATTGCAAATTATCAAATTTTGAGAGGGCAAGAAAGGAAATCAATAGTTTTGACATGGGTATTCTCTTTTATAAGTTGTTTTGAGAGAGCAAGAAAGAAAATTAAAAGTTTTGCCAGGTATTCTCTTTTATAAGTAGTATATATATATTAAAATTCTAATTGTTGTTTTCACTGTATTTATTTATATGGAAAAGAACTTTATTGTTTCATATTTTTATCATTTTATAATATACATTGTCATAAATATTTAATAAGTAAACTCTAAGATATTCTTTTAGAAAGTTTTAGAAATAAAAATAAAGAGAAAAAGAAAAGAAAACCTTTGTGTGAAATACTCAAATTACTCTCTTGTCTTTCATGAGATGCAAAACAATTTTTTCATGTCTTTCAAAAAAATTTCTACCCTCTCTAAGTTTTTAATATGGTAATATAGATAAGTTGTTTCAAAATTAATTATTGAAATCACTATTACGTCTCACAACTCTTATAAGTTATTTCAAATTAATTCCTTCAATCATGCCCTAGTAGGATAGAATACTTGCGAACCTTATAGTAAATTTAATTCTTTGAGATACTAGTTTTAAAATACTAAATGGGACTAATATTGGAAAATTCCAAACTTTATTAGCACATCTCATTCCTTTTCTAACTCAAAAGATAAGGAAATTAGCAAGAGGACTCAGACTACTAGTTTATTGTCATTTACTTAGTTGCTTTTTTATTCAAAGGCCGGTTGATTTTAAATAAATTTTTTCTTCATTTGATCATGACATCTCATCGCATGCCCCAAATATATCACATAAGAACATATTTCTTCTAGTTAGTACGTGCCTTTTCAAGATGCTTCTCTAGAACTTTTTAAGTAGAACTGGGATAATTGGTAAAGTGGGATAATATTTTGATACTGGGATAATTTAGTGGAACAATGATGAGTAATTCTTAAAGTGTTGGTAAAGTGGGATAATATTTTGATACTGGGATAATTTAGTGGAACAATGATGAGTAATTCTTAAAGTGGGATAATTTGGTAGGATAATTTGGTGAGTAATTCTTAAAGTGGGATAATTTGGTAGGATAATTTGGTGGGATAATGATGGATAATATTATGAAGCTGCATAATTTGGTAGGATAATTTGGTGGGGGTAATGGTGAGTATAAATTACTATTGTCAATAATTGTATATTAAAAATAATATAATATTATAAGCAAATTCTAGTAATAACTATAAAATATAATACAATAAAGCATCACTATTCATCTCAAATAATAAAATAATTTACAAATAAATAAAAAATTTAAATCCCTAGAGTGACTCGACTTCCATCATCCTACATGGCTTCTATCATCCCACATGGCATCTGCCATAGAATTTCTCCAAGCTCCTACAGCTGCTCGTTGAGTCTGTAACTCGTCTTCTTTATCGGAGTCATCGTCTACATCAGCAACATTTTGTGGAGCTTCTAGTGCAGGATCATAAATGTCGAAGTTCAAATCTCATAACATCATAAAGAAAGAAAAATAAGCATTTTTCAGCCATTAACCCTTTGGACCAATCTCATCATGATCGCTGAAACCAAATCAGCAAATAAATGAAATGTACACAGGAATCATCCATGGCCGCTAAACAGATGATCGACAGAAGAACTATAAATATCCCAATCAATTTATTGAGCCGATTTAATAATAATAGATATCACCATTAACCATTCAACATCTAATCATCAATGTGATCGCAAAGTTACTTTCTAACTTATAAAAAAACATAAATAGCCCTCATATCTTTAGCACTAACCCACCAACACTATATTCTTAACCTAAACCATTGTTGTGGAGAGAAAACTTAGATCAAACAAATAATAATAAAGTAATTTAACGTCAAAAAGGTATCAATAAAGTAATATATCTTGAAAATAATAATAATAAATCTAATCATCACAAAAACAAAGTAAAGACAGAAAAATGAACGGATGATTGACTTCATGGCAGAAAAATTTTCTAGGCGGAGAAACTAACCAAGAGGGAGGGAGGTGGGGTTTCACTTTTTTTTCTCAATTGTATTCTTTCCAATGTGTGGGATAATTTGAGAGAGGAGAACTTATGGTTATATATATAGGTAGTATAATTTGTGGGATAATTATGACCAATTATCCCAATTCTAATTCTAGTAGAATTCTACTTGACTAACGCACTAAAAAAATAATACAGTTCTAGTGCTACAAAAGTTCTACTTGACTAACACTATAAAAAAATATCCCATTTCCTAGTTCTATGTGACTAACACCTTAAAAATTTATCCCACAAATTATCCAAGTTTCAGTTTTAAGTTCTAGATGACTAACCCCCCCTTAAGGCCTCTCCTTCTTAAAATTTTCATATCTTTTATAACTTTGACAAATTGCGTTTCATAATGGATATTCCTTTATTAGCATTTACACAAATATAACGTACTGATTTTATGAAGTAAATTCGAAATGTACATCTATAAATGCTTCATTAATAACCATCAAACCTATATCATCTATAAGTAGCACTCTCTCATTTTGTGCCCAAAACCACCAAACTTTGATCTCCAAAGGAAAAAGATGAACGCATTGGTTTCTTCATTCCTATTCCTTTTCTTCCTCTTCTCTTCAAATCTATGTCAATTTGTTATATCCATCAACCAAAATGATACCAATGATGATCTAAAGACTTACATAATTCAAGTTGCTCCACCAAAAAATGCTCATTTGGACCAAAATGAGCTTAGGAAATGGTATAGATCATTTTTGCCCAATAACTCTGAAGAATTTGCTCGGTCGCGAATTATCTATGATTATGATACTGCACTTACGGGGTTTGCAGTAAGGCTTACGCCTAAAGAATTGAAGGAGGTCGAGAAGAAGGAAGGATTCTTGGGAGCATACCCTGACAGTGCATATCATCTAGATTCACCTAATATTGGAGAGGGAAATTGAAAACAGTAGTAGGAAATTATTGGGTGGAAGAGGCTTGATTAGTTATTTGGATTGGTATGTTTAGGGTATGTTATTGTTATCAGAGCTTAGTTGCTAGAATTTATATGTAGGAAATTTTAGTAGTGAAGAGTTAATTTTCTCTAATTAGTATTGTCTGCATCCTCTTCATGAGGATAACTGAAGGTTCTCAATTGTGAAACATTCACATAAGTCAAGGGTTTATGTAATTGTTGCGAGATCTTAGTAGAAATCATATATTGGAACTTACAGTTCATATATTCTATGCATAGAGATTAAATACATAGGAACTTATAAGAATCACAAATGTAGATTAGATAATAGACACTTATGATTGATCAAATTGATATGCGTAGGAACATGGGAAATTATTTTTTATTAGTTTTTAATAAAACGAAGCTAATATCAAATAATAATAATGACAACAACAACAACTTATGGCTCCATCTAGTTGAGATTTAGCGATAAGAGATTAAAGAGAATTGTTAACTAATTTATCAACATGATAATTAACATCTGTTTTGATCTTGATGGTTTGGAATTTCTACTGTTTGGAGAAAAAAAGGTTTAGAACAATTTTTTTAATAAACTAGTATGCAATATGTGCATTGCACATAATGCCTGTTATAGCTAGTCACATGGACATTATCAATTAATATATTAATTCTGACTATCTACAATTTTAGATATAGTAAGCAAAGAAAAATTGAATATAAATTAATAATACAGAGATTTAAATAATGATTTCTTCTTTATATGTAGAATAACTTTTGATAATAGTCAACTTATGTATATTAGGAATTTTGTCATAGTTAAGGATTCTATTTTTGCAAATATTTTTTAAATTCTTACAAACTACTCCCTACGTTTATATATTGAATTCTACTATATCAAGAACATGAATCAAGTATTTTTGGAACAAATAAATTTCATTCTCAAGGAAAAACAACTTCAATACAAGAAGTTGTTGTTCTTCTATACCCAAACATTCTTACTTGTATCTGTTATGACTTTACATGTATAGTTTGGCTTTTTTTGTTGTAAGGATGATTTATCCTTAATAGGTTTGTTTGCGGGAAAAATAGAAGAAAAATTGAGAGGAAATATTATTAATTCTCCTTAATTGACTCTAGAAAAGAATGAATACAATCTCTCAAAGTAATCTCTCTCTAACCAACTTAAAAAAAATTACAATTCTTCTTATCAGTTTCCCCGATTTACAAAAGAGAAAAGGAATCAACGTAGATCATTCTCTTTGTTTAAAACTAGGTTCTTCTCGATAGCGATGAGATCTTGAATCTTACATCTCGTTGACAATCTGAGCACTTCGCTTCGTGAAACATTGTCTATTCCTCTTGACTTGACGTCGAGAAGAACTTGCAAAGCAAGTTTAGAACTCTGGCCGAGTTAGAAACTTTGAAAAAGTTAAACTCTAACCGAGTTAGAAACTGTAAAACCCCATGAATTATTGAAAATATTATGATAAACAGTGATAAATGATTTTTAATATGTTTGCGACCATTTATGGATGAATGATTATGTTAGCAAATGATTTGAGATCAATTTAGTGTATATATGAGAGTATACAAGTGTTAAACATGCACAAAACGGGTAAAAACATGCAAACCTAAAAACTTCTTGTAGCATTGGGTCGGTCGACTGATGGCTACTATTAGTCGACCGATACGAGCTTGCCAATCAACTGATGTCAAGCATCAGTTGACCGATGGGCAATTCCTAGTTTGACTGGGTTTTTGTTTCAGGTCTTTTTGTGTTGTTTCGGGTTTACCCGTATGTATGTATGTATGTATATATGTATACACACACACACACACACAACACACACAAATTCTCTTTTTCTTCATATTTCACGTGAATAAATAACCACCATCTCCCCGTAAAACCCTAGATCATATTTTGTGAGTTTTGAAGAGCTTTGTGAAGCAAATACCGAGAAGAGGGCGAGATCGTCGGCGTTTGGCGAGGGAGAATTTGTTTTCTTGTACTCTTGGGGATTCTAGTAAGTTTTGAGGCGAGTTTCATCTCCTCCAATCTCATCTCCACTTTTATTTGGTTTTAAATTGGTTTTATCGGATTTTTCTAAAATCTAGTTTGTGAGTAAAAATCACATCTTGACCTATATGATATAAAAGATTTGATCTTTTTGTTTTAAAAGTGATATGACGCATTCTCTGATTTGGATTTAAGTTTCGAGGCTAATCTAATGTGCGATTTGTTAAAAAGATTTATTTTTCATGATGATTTACATATATTCTCTAATTTGGATTTAAGTTTTGAGGCTAATTCAGTCACGCTACAAATAACCCAGTATAGGGCTCTCGCTACCCGGTCTGCGAATCGGGAGCCCGGGGGTGGTGCGCCCTTGACTGGAGGGTCTAGGGGGAGTAGACAACCCCTCGGCGGGGTTTAGGACAGTGCCCTAAAAGTCCACGGTATACATCAGGTTCTGTATTGGATTTTGCACTTGGAAAGTGAGGTTCGCGTTTTATCAATGAAACGCGAGGATCACGTTTAGCACTTGGAACGCGAGGGTCGTGTTTAGGCAATTGAACGCGAGTGTCGCGTTTTGACTGAGAGATGTGAAGCTGATGTTCGCATTCAACATAGGCTCGAGGTCCGTGTTTTGGCTGTAAAATGCGCCATTGAGGGCCACGTTCAGCCTAACTTTCGTAAGGCTCGTGCTTGGGCACATAAACTTGAGGCTCACGTTCTAAAGCAGAAACGCGGAGCTCAAGGTCGTGTTGAGGCTCACAAATGCGAAGTTCACGTTGGTTGGTGGTATGAGGAACCTTAGTCTCCTTGGAGACTTTGCGGATCTTGCACATAGCATTGGGGCTAAGGGATCCGGATGAGAGGAACTCCTTATATTTGGCTTGGTCGAACTCGACGGTTAGAGTTTTGACAGTAGTTCCCATGAGTTTGATGTCAGATTGTGCCACCACCTCTTCATCGGTGAAAAAACTAGTCCCCAACTGAGTCGCCATCTTTTGTTGTTGGGAAAATTAAAGAAATTTGAGAAATAAATCTGTATTAATCTCCCTAACTGATTTAGGAAAAAAAATGAATATAATCTCTCACTATAACCTCTCTCTAACTGACTTAGAAAAGGAAATTACAATTTTCTTTTATCAGTTTCTCGATTTACAAAAGAGAGAAGGAATTGACATAAATCATTTTCTTTGTTTAAAACTGGGTTCTTATTGGTGGCGATGAAAGTTTGATTCTTGTATTTCGTTGACGATCCGAGCACTTCGCTTCATGTAACATTGTCTATTCCTCTTGACTTGACATCGGGAAGAACTTGCGAGGTAAGTTTCAAACTCTAAAAGAGTTTATGAATTTTATGAAAGAGTTAATTTTAGAAAGGAAATTAATCCTTTTTAACTGAAATCGGCTAAACAGCTGATCTCTAAGTTCTTCAACCGAAACACGGTTCAAAAAGCTAAGGCAAATTGCTCCAAAGCTCTAATAAAAACCTTCACCAAAGCCAAAATCAAGCTCCAAAGGTTCCCCCGTCCATCCCCTTTCTTCACTTGTAAACACAGCTATTTATAGTGTTTTAACGGGTGTAACCGAGCCCTTAAATCACTCCTTAATGAGGGTTTAATGCTCCCATTTTGTGCAAAACGATTTTGAAACCCTTCAGAACGTGTTTGAATGGGTCAAACGCAAGGTTCACATTTTGGAAACGACCCTCGCGTTCAACTTATGAAACACAGAGATGAGCTCTGCATTTGAAGCTTGGAACGCGGGCGTGAGCCCCGCATTTGGCATTTGAAACGCCAGGGTGATCCCCACGTTTTGAGATTGAAATGCAGGGGTGACCCTCACATTTTAGAATTGGAACGCGGGGATGGCCCTTGTGTTTTGGAATTGGAACGCGGGGATGTCCCTTGCATTTTTGTTTGAAGAGATCGTCAATTCGTAATCTCTTTTCTAAGTCCTGCAAGGATCGTCATCTTGTAATCCTTGCATTTGGCTTTTTGAAATGTGAGAGTTGTCAATTTGTAACTCTCGTATGTTACGAAAGTTGTCTGACTATTACTTCCATCTGCTGTCGTGGAAGTCGTTGAATTGTAACCTTTATCGATTATCACGAAAGTCATCGAATTGTAACTTTCATCATTAGTGTTTGCTTTATTTTGAATTTCTCTTTCACAATCTGCTTGACAAAAGCAGTAGGAGACACCAGTTTCTTCAAGAAACCAGACAATAGAAGCATGAATAAATGAAGATTCTGAAATCCACCATCTTTCTTCTCCGTCTTCATAATGATATGGAGTGGAGAATTGGAAAGATTGCTAGTCAGTGTTTTCTGAGGATTGGCTATCTGCATTAATTTTTAAACAGCCTACAAGGTTCGGTTATTATCTGTTAACTCAAGTATGCTTGAGCATAGTTTGTACTTAATTTACAGTCGGCAATGAAATTATTCACTTACCAAAAAAACCAACTTCAACATGATTATAAAACACCACTTCAATAAGTGAAGAATTCATCCAACCCAATATTACGTCCAATATCCATTCACAAGAATTTGAATTAATTCAAATAGAAGTTATTATATTAGATATTACAACTATTCTCAAAATCATCTTTATCTAGTAAAGCAACAAAATTATGTATTGCTTATGATTTTATTCCGCTCATACCTGTCACACATTTTCATAAACACTTCTTTACAATTTACCCATTTAAAGTATCCTGGCAAATCAAACATAGTTTATCATCTTACATATAATACTTTAGTGATGTATTATTTCACACTTTTTTCTTAACCTCTTTTTATCATTCATGTCCTTTCTATTGTTCATATTCTTTCTCACACTTATTGTAGGCTTTAGTTTTAATGTTGTTCCCTTGGAATCTCCATCTTCATCACCTTTTAATGGTTTAAAATCTTCTGGCTTGCAGATCTCTTAGAGAAATTACCCTTCCTTCAATTCTCAGTTCTTCATCTTTCTCCTTCATCTTTACCAAGAAAAGATGTTATTCGTTGCAACAGTTCATCATTTTCTAGTATGTAGGCAATAAATGCTTGTTCACACACATATGTTTTGTTACCTATTTTTTTTATTAAAATTATTTGATGAAAATATTTTATTGTTTTCAACATTCTATGCATAGTAGCAATTTGTCCATGGTACGCACCTTTTCTTCTTCATCAAATGAATCCACGCATTCTTCAGGTGTTCAGTGAGTTGGAAATTTAATTTCATCAAAGAGAGTAGTATACTGCCCTGTTGATATGGTCCTTTACTACGAATCGCACGAGGTATCTTGTCATTAAAATGAAAAATTCTTCAAGGACCCAAAATATGGGACCAATAGGGGGGACAAGTGAGGTGTCCCCTCCTATTGAATAATGAGTTGGCCATCATTAATGATGACCAACTCATTATCAAATAGGAGGGGGACACCTCACTTGTCCCCCCTATTGGTCCCATATTTTGGGTCCCTGTAGCAAAGCTCTATAATTAGCAAATTAATTCCAGTCTAGAAAAGATTCTAAAGAAATATGAAATATAATAAGATTTGTCATTAAAATTATCAAATTTGTCATCAAAATTTCCTCAAATTCAATAACTTAAAATAAGATTTTTCTTTAGCCTAGTGGAGACCATTTATTAACTTTCCACCCATATATAAATTCATAAGCCTTCAGTTATCGTTCCAGTCAAGGTATGGCAGATGGATTTCTATTGCAGTAGCTATTTTCTCACTAACTTCATATATGATAAGTATTTGTACACACTATTTTTTTAAGTTAATTATTTTATACCAAAATTTTATTCCAATGTAAATTGTCTAAAATACCTAATATATATTATAGACTAACTATTTAGTCCTAACATAGCAAATCAGTAAAATAAAACCCAAAGAAAGAAATTGCTCTTCATTACAAATTATAGATTCACAAAATAACAAAAGGGAAAAGGGCCGTAAGTAATTTACCTTGCAAGATGGGTCCTCCTCCAAGAACTGTATAAAATAGAGAATATTTTTTTTTAAAAAAAATTACTTTGAATCAAAACTAATTATAATGGGCAAAGAAACTAAAACACTTTTTTTTTTTTTTCTGGGGGGGGGGGTGTCAATAACTCACCGACTGCAGAAACTCTCTTCTCTAGATAAATACCTACCAAAAGCCTTTATATAAGGAATAAGGACTTTGTAAATTTAATGTTTCCAATTAATTTGGAGTTGAGAGAAGTGGGGAGTTGTATGGATATTGTCCTTAGTGCTAATTATGGTTGATTATAAGTGGGTTGAGAGAAATTAGGGATGTTGGATTGTGAGAGAGAGGAGAGGGTATTGATTGGGATGGTGGATGAGGGAAGAGAGGGCTTTTGCTTGACATATGGATGCGTCGCGCGCGCGCACTCACGCACACACACAAACGCACGCGCACGCACATACATACACATATGAGAGAGGAAGAGAGAGGTAGAGAGAGAGAGAGGGTATTTGTAAGGTCCGATTATGACTTGATGCCATAAATGGTCTATAATAAATTTAAGCCCAATTGCTCCAACTCCGTATATTGAAATAAATAATCTTATCAGTTGATGCGTGAGAAATTAGTGACTGCATGCGGTTTTAGAGTTTAGAGTTAGATTGAACTGCTAGCGATTTTTCTTCTACCGACCTACATGGATTAATTTATAATCTATAATCATTACTTATAATACATTATATTATAATTACACATTATTTATACACACACACATGAAGGAGAGATTTCAATGTCAAAACTTTTGATTGAGAGGGCCAAAATGGTAATCAAAAATTTTAACGTGGGAATCCTCTTTTATAAGTAGTATAGATTATTATTTTAAATTAATAAATATTCGATATATATTCTAAAGATTTAATTACTTCTAGTATATAACATGCTCAATGGCCAACCCAAAATTTTTCCCCCGATGATGTCATCGTGTAACTTATCATGGCTGTTCTTAGAATTTATACCGACAACGTCATGATTTTTCCCCTCCTAAGTGGTTCCTCATGCTAATTCCGGTGCTGTCCTAAATAGCAATGTTGGTAAAAAATGAAAAAAAAAAATGTCTACAAACTAGAAAAATATGGATTTGGATCCTCTCCACTTCAAAAAAGTAGTGGAGAGACTACTGTTTTTAATCTCAATCGTTGATTATTTAGCAAACGGTTATGATAAAATCTAAATCTAACACTTATCATACCCCGTGTATTGCATTCATTCCTAATTTGCACTAAAAGAAAAAAATCACAACCATCAACTAGATAATCAATAACTGTAATTATGTAGTTGTCCCTCCATCACTTTTTTATACTGGAAATGATCCGAATCTAAAAAATATGTACCTCCGTCGCTAAATTTAGTGATACTAGTATGCTATACGTGCGTTGCACGTGATGCATATTAAGAAACGATACAAAGTCATATGAGATGCTCAAATTTCACACGCGGGGAAAAAAAACACATGGGCCAGATGTGTACCCCGCTACTGTTAACTGGGCCTCAAGGCGGCCCAAAGATTAAAAGGCGAAGACCGAGGGAGCGACCGAAAATAAAAACGAGCGCGTTCTTCCCCCCAATTTTCATTCTTTTTTGCATCGGCCATGGCTCTTCAAGCGAGAAAGCTGGTGAAATCCTTGATTTCCTCGTCGAAGTTCCTCTCACGATCTCGAACCTATGCGGCCGCCGCCCAATCTCCGTCGCCGGCGGTGTTCGTCGACAAGAACACGCGGGTGATCTGCCAGGGGATCACCGGAAAGAACGGAACTTTCCACACCGAGCAGGCGATCGAGTACGGTACTGCGATGGTAAAAATTTACACTCTCCCCACCTCGTTATTTTCGCTTTTTTAGATTTAGATCCTAGATCGTTTTTTTTTTTTTTTGAAAAAGTAATTTGATGTGATTTGTGATTTAGGGTTATCTGATGATGATGCGGGGAAATCAATTGAGTTAAATTATGGGAGGCATTATTCTGAATTTAAATTCTGGAGAAAAATAGCCTAAAGTAGGGAATTAATTTGGGTGAGTTGTTGAATTAATACTAGGAGATGTAGTTGTAGAAATTATGTCAAGCTTGAGGAAAGAGTAAAAGTGACCTAACTATGTTGGAACTAATTGATGTTTTCTTGTATTTTAGTTCGATGCGTATCGCAGGAAAAAGCAGTAGAACATTAGAAATTGATTTATCAGAAAAGTATAATAACACACGTTTATGATGAGAAGCTAGTTCTCGATATTATATGGGGAATACTGTGGTTAACTATGAAGCTTTGCTATAGTCTATGTGATAATCATAAATGGCTTAGTTTTCTTCTAGCTTGTTGGCTCTTGATTGCTAAATGATTTGTAGAGTGAGAATACCGTGGTTCTTAATTATTGACATCGTTGTAGTACCTCTTATCCCTTTTACATGCAGCGGAACATTTTTATTTTGATTGTTCTATTACTGATGTTTCACAACATGGTGCCTTTTGTGGTATAAAGGAAGGTGGAAAAACTTGAAACTCGTGATCTATGTACAGTCGTTTCCTGTTTTGATTTTGTCCATAGTAGTTTTCTTTAGCAGTATAATTCTGCCAGTAATTTATGCTTGCTCAGCATTGTCGATGCATTGTCAGATAGATGGTCTAATATTGGAAAACCACTTTTTGTTTGATTGCTGTAGGTTGGTGGAGTGACACCTAAAAAAGGAGGAACCGAACACCTGGGACTTCCAGTATTCAACTCAGTTGCAGAAGCAAAGGCAGAGACAAAAGCCAACGCATCAGTTATTTACGTACCACCACCTTTCGCTGCAGCTGCAATTATGGAGGCAGTGGAAGCTGAGCTGGACCTTGTTGTCTGTATTACCGAGGGAATCCCTCAGCACGACATGGTATCATTTTTCATTCCTAATGAGAATATTGTACTATTTCTCTTCTCTGTAGAGTTCAGGCCTTTACTGATTAGGGATACGTGACCCATAGATATCTTGAAGGGAAGAATAATACTTATATAGCTAATAAAACAAGCTACACATAGGTTACCTAGACACTTCGTTTTGGGTGCCGTATCTATGTCAGACATGGATTCACCGCGGACACCATGGACACGTGTGGTTCAAATTAAAACCCTATTTCCCTATTTCTTATAACCCTAACCTAGTTTATTTGGTATATCGAGCTCAAAACCAATAGGTTTTTTAATCCATAAGTTGAAACGCATTACTCAAATATTTGAACAATACCCATTGTATACCATGCAATCAAAACTAAACTTTTGTTGTTAAACCTTACATTTAGTCTGATTTAACTTGATTCTTATTTGTTTTATATAGTAAAAGAAACATACAAATGTTATAGGTAGTTTAATTCAATATTTGATCTAATATAAATATTATACGTGTGTGTCCCCTGACTTTTACAAATTTGCCATGTCTCGTGTCCGTACTCTCACCCGTATCTGTGCAACCTAGAGCTACACTAACATGGTACATGATGTACATATGAGTGTTTGTGCGGTACATATGATGTACATGTTTGTGTCTGTCCTGCTTTTTACAAATCTGCCATGTCCCTTGTCCTTGTCCGCACCCGCACCGGTATCCGTGCAACCTAGAGCTACACTAACATGGTACATGATGTACATATGAGTGTTCATGACCATTCCTTTTGTTCAAGAGGCGAAAAGGTGTGATGAGCTAGTTGCCTTCAATTATTTTTTATTTGTGCATGACTAGTTATATGTTTGTTTATCAATACTGATTCATACTTCCTTCACTGGACCTATCTGCTTTAAAATTGCATATTCCTATTCTAGTTTGCTTGAAGCAGGACGACATTTTTAATGTTCATCTGGCATGATTCTGATTTCATTTCCTTTTTCTTTTTCTAACATTCTTGCAATAGTTACAGTACATATACAATACCATTGACATCTTCATCATTCTAAACCAACGGGTTTCTAACGTTTAGCAGCATGTCACTTGCAAACATTTCATGAATATCGAATACATTTTTTTATTATTACAGGTTCGTGTAAAGGCTGCTCTTAACAAGCAATCTAAAACTCGTTTGATAGGGCCGAACTGTCCAGGCATTATCAAGCCTGGAGAATGTAAAATTGGAATAATGCCTGGGTATATTCACAAGCCAGGGCGCATTGGGATTGTATCTAGATCTGGTACTTTGACATATGAAGCGGTATGCTATTAATTTTTGGTAATGTGTTTAACATTCATGAGAATGCTCTTTTTAGCAGTCACTCATTGTTACCATGGTACAGGTTTTTCAAACAACTGCGGTTGGTCTGGGGCAGTCCACCTGTGTGGGTATAGGTGGTGACCCCTTCAATGGGACAAATTTTGTAGATTGCGTAAGGAAGTTCCTTGATGATCCACAGACTGAAGGTAAACCCTTCACAAAAATCAAAACTACACATATGGCTTATAAAGTTAAGGCTGTGACTGTTGAATTCTTTTCCCATTTAATATACGTTTATTTGACTGAAAATGGTGTTGTATTTATCCCAAATTTTACTTTTCATCAATATGATACAAAATTGGTGTCATTTGCTGGTCAGAATTTTTGCTAGGATGTGGGCTGTATAAGCCTATAAGGGCTTACTTGTTTATCTTACGTCATTTAATACGAGGGATACATTAATGCAAGCTTAAGTAGATTCATTCACAGACAATTTGAATAGACTGATGATAGTTGTGGACATACAATCATTTAGTGAATGTTTTTTTTTAATTTTGCTGCGCTTGATATGGCTTTTGTAATTTTTTAAATTTTGCTGCGCTTGATATGGCTTTTGTATTTTTTAATGAGCTTTAAAAAGGCACTACTTAAACATATACATTTTGGTCATAATTAAAATATTGCTGTGGTTAATGTTTCTTTGTATTATACTATGCAAAGACTGTTTCAATGTATTTTCTCACAGGGATAAGCGTTTCTTTCTAAAATGTTGATAGATTTCAAGAATGTAATATTAGCTACTGGTATGCCTTTCAGGTATTATTCTTATAGGAGAGATTGGAGGAACTGCAGAAGAGGATGCTGCAGCTCTGATCAAGGTTAGACGAAATTGCATTCTTATGAGTTTCAATTTTACCTTTCAAAAATAAGCATTTGGACTAGGTTGAGAAATATGAAGTTTTTCATTTTACCTTTTTTCTCCCTCGCCACGGTAAATAATTAAATCAAGGATAAATAAGCAAAAACCTTTATTCTTCTGTATAAGCACTTGTTTCTTTCCAGCTTTGAACAATTTAAATAATTACTCAAACTGGAAGCCTGGAACATTGCCAGAACTGGTATGTTCCTTTGTCATTTTATCTTTTACACATTGAAGGAAACACATCTGATATCTCCAACTTCCTTATTGTTGGCAAGCGCTATTAATTTATGTCTTGGACGGAAATATATGGTAACTTTGGGTTTGTTTTTTAGTTAAACCATAAATATATTCATATCGGTTTGTATCTGGATTGAATTTTAATTATTAAGAAAATGTTCACGTGTTTCTTTGTTTCCCTCCATAATATACCTTTTTAACTTAATATCATTCCTTTGCTGCATGAACAGGAAAGTGGAACAGAGAAACCTGTTGTTGGGTTTATAGCTGGACTTACTGCACCACCAGGCCGCCGTATGGGTCATGCTGGAGGTGCGTTTAAAATATTTATTGTTTAACAACCATCTAATCATATGATTATTTTGATATAGATAAGATCAATCTTATTAAGAGCACAGTTTAACTGCTGTGAACTTTGCTCTGCATTGTCTATTCAATTGTTCCTGTGTTGCTTGCTTGCTTGTAAGGAGTTAGAAGATAAAAGGTCATTTGCACTCATAAGTTGTAATCTCCAAATATAGTTATGGACAACATCGCAAACACCATAATTATGTAGTATGGACCATGGACCTTTTATCTTATAGCTGCTCCCGGCATGTAGTTAATTGATTATGAGCTCAGCGACGTTTTTCCACTAGATGTCGTTGGCATACATGATCAACAAAAGAATTGACTGGTTGTCAACCTTGCCTCAACCTACTGACCCCATTTCTGGCTAATGTAACCATGTCCGGTTTCCCATTTGCATCACAAACTTCTTTTAACTGTTTGTTTTGCAAAATCAAATCATGACATTGCTATAGATGTATCTGATGAACAATTTCCGTTAAGTACAATAGGACATACGATCTACTAGGAGTACAGTAGTAAATTCAAATGAAACATTGATGTTTTATTTCTATCAACCCTGTCGAGGCATTCGTTGATATTTGTAATAAAATGGCTTGTAAACTTTTAATTAAATTTTTTTGTTTTGTTTTTTGCAGCAATTGTATCCGGTGGTAAGGGAACCGCCCAGGACAAAATCAAAACCCTAAGAGAAGCAGGCGTGACAGTGGTCGAGTCCCCTGCGAAGATTGGCATAGCTATGCTCGAAGTCTTCAAGCAGCATGGACTTGTAGAGTAGCTGGAAAGTTTCAATACGCTCCAAAGGTTTCATACATTCTGGATTATTTGAAGGTGCAGGTTTAGCACCTGAAAATTTTGTTTACTATCCCTTCGAATTTTCTCTCGGGAAATTCCTTTTCCAATTTGACGCTTTATTACTATCGGAATAATAATCCGAATACGATACATTCTACAGATTAATGTTCCAATTCAGCGGATTGAGTATCATAAAAAAATTACAAGGGGGGTTTTTATGTCATCCATGTTTCTTTTTGTATGTTAGAAGTTGTATTGCATGTTGCTCAAACTAAACGATGAATGCACATTCCAGCTGCAGTATAAACTCTAAATGCAGTTGGAATTAATAAAATACAAACACAATTGTTTGTCAAGTGAAAGAAGCTATAAATTCATACGGTTCTGATGGATAAGCTACATTCTTCGAGGCCTATCCGGCAATCATTCAAAATTAGACCAGGTTCAAATCTAGTCTAGTTTTGAGAGCTATTCTGATTGGAAAAAACTGGGTCAAAGCTGGCCTAGTTTTTCTAAATAGAACCAGTTTAGCTTAAAACTGGACGAGAGCCATCCTTTGCCCAATTTTCTACGTTTTGCCCA